TACAAACAGGCTAATTCTTTTTTTTTTTTTCCAAATAGGCTAATTCTGAGCATGTATTTTATACCTTTTCTCAGAAATTTTCCTGTGGAACTAAGCCCCAGTCAGCCACGTGGTGACCTGCCTTGATATCATGTCCTTTATTGGCTGCCTGCCCCCCCATCTCACTTCCCACCTCCCTTCAGCTGTTTCCTGAGATTGTCCCCTAGATAAACAACCTCACCGGAATCCTTGACTCAGGATCTGCCTGGGGAAGTCTTCTGTAAGGAGACTGGATTGGAGGGGACGTAAGTGGAGGCAGGGAGACACATCAGGAGGCTGTTGTGTTAGTCCAGGTGAGAAAAGATGATGACCTGGACCAGGATGGTGGCAGGTGAAGCTTCCTGGGATCTCGACTCTTAGGGATGTGAAGGCCCTTCACAAGCAGAAGTTGCAGAAAGACTTTCATGAGCCAACATTACCAGCTCCCAGTCTGTCTGAATTCTCCACATCTCACCCACCATCTAGCTAATCACACACCCTCTAAGGGGAAGCGCAGTGTGAGAAAAGAGACCCCTTTAAAAGAGAAAAAATAGCAATGTGCCCAACCCCCCAGCACTTCCTGCCCTCACTCTGGCCTCTGGGTCGAAGGCCCCTTTGGGTCCCAGGCACAACTCCTCTCAGGCTGGATTTGGCTTACAGTGAATGTGGTGATCATTAGCTCTTCCTGACCATGGCTTGGCTGTGCCTCCATCACCGTCCCAGGAGGAGAAGGACTTTGTACCCTTTACCAGAGTGAATGCAACTCCGGTTGCAGGTGGCCCCCGACATTGAGCAGAGTGTTGTGAGCCCCACTCAACAAACACACATACACACTCTCCCACCCATTTTGTCCACCTGAGTAGAACCAGCTTCTCACTGATCTATTCAGAAGTGGTGGACCCTCTCTTGGTCCTACTTCTTCCTATGACGCAGCCTAGATTGCGTGGGATGGTACCTACTCGCAATTAGTACTTTATCTTTTCGTAGAGAAACCAGTTTATTAACCGAGAGCACCGTCCTGGTCCTACTGGCCTGCCAAAACTTGCTCTTGACTTAACTCGTTAGGAGTTGCAGATGCTGTTCGTACCCCACCCGACTCCCCTGGCACCCACTATTCCTGTGCATACCAATGGCTTTCCACAACGAGTGCTGCAGGTCTCTGCCTTAGCCCGTCTCTGGCGGAAGGATCTGGTTTGGCTGGCCAGCCCACAGGCCGGGCTACAAGTGCCACGAGGTCAATGCTCTCACGAGCAGTCTCAGCCACTGCCAGTTGGGAGCTAGTGGGCAAATAACCCAGCTTTGGTCCTCAGGTGAGACAACTGTGGTCTGTGTTCTACACACTCCCTCAATGATCTCAGCAGGATTGAGCTCCCACTTGCCTACAGCAGTGTTTGGGCATCATTTGGAGTACGTGAGGGTGTATGGTTCAGGCGCATGGTATGCGTGTGTGCGTGGCTATGGCATATGCGGGCACAGAAGGTTCACGTATAAGTGTGCAATGTGTGTGTTTGGGTGTATGTAAATGATTTCATCATTGTCCAACATATATTTGCTCCTCTTCCCCTTCTAGTCTGAGCAGACGGTACTTCCCTTCCCTGACATTGACTTGCTTTAGCCAATGGAATACTAGCAGAAGTGACATTGGTGAAGGACTTAAATGTGCTTTAGCAGTTTGGTTGAGTTTTGGGGGCTTCTCCATTTCCCATGAGAAGAGTTTGCCCAGGTGCTGCTGCCCCTTCAGCCTGAGTTCCAGAATGAGAAACCAAGCAGACCTGAACCCAAACCACAGCTTGGAGCTAAGCTCAGTTGAGTCCAACCGACCCAGAGACCCTGGAGCAAGAAATAACGAGCTGGCATTTTAAACCATTGAAATTTGGAGAGGTTTGTTAGCATTTCAGCAATCACTAACTAATACAAAATGTTAGATGGGATTTGCAAAGCATAGGGTATGATTTGTGGGGAGTACAAGGAATGTGTATGTGTGCGGTGCTTGTGTATTTTGTGTTGGGGAAATGCTATTTGTGATACACAACCACGAAAAAGCCAGGGTTTCTATTGGATAACACAAAACAAACGAGCAAGCACACCACAGAGTGGGCTGTAGATGGAGTGTGTACTCAGTTCCCGGTCAGAAGGCACCTCGGGCTCCTACGCGGGGAAACCCACATCCTGAAGCCTCGCCTCTCTCTGACTTGCTAGCGGCTTCTAGGAGGGCAGCATCAGCCAGACAGGGGTGTTTGACTTGACAGGTGTTCAGCAAACCAAGGAAGAGGTGGCACAAGGCCAGCCAAGTAGCATCTGACCGCACACCCAACCTGCGTGTGCCTTGGCTGCTGCGGCTTCCGTCCCTGCAACAGGGCTTGGCGTCCGAGGAAGGGTCCACACAGCAGCTCTGGGAGATGGACAGAGGGGGCTCTGTGTAGAACAGAAAACTGCTGTGTGCACATCAGCTGGACTGGGGCTTTGCAAGGAGGTGCCTCCGATCTCAAGGCTCCAAGGCATCCCTGCAAGAGTCCCCTTTTCCTGACTCAGTCATGACCAGCTGAATAGGAACTCTGTGATTAAGACGGTGAGCTCCGGAGTCAGACTGTGCAGGCTCTGTCTCCGGTCCAGCAGCCATGACCTTGGGCAAGTAATTTAACCTCTCTGGACTTTAATTTCTCAGCTTTAAGATAGGGATAAATATAGTATCTCACTTGTAAGGTTGCTATGAGGACTGGATGAGTTAATTCCTATAAAGTTTCGGGGACTGTGCCTGCTTATTATGGCATGCGCGCTCCTCTCCAGGCACTGATGACACAGTCTTGCATGCGGAAACCACACAAGGTCAGTGTTATCATCTGACGTAGGCCAGGCTCCCCCAGAGACAGACCTTGAGACAAGGATTCAAGCAAAAGCAGTTTGTGTGTGTGTGTATGTGTGTGTGTGTGTGTGTGTGTGAGCTGATCCAAAAACACAGCAGGAAGCAGAGATGTGAGACACAGAGGGTGAGCAATGATCCCTGTGAGTAATCAGGGCTCAGTCCTGGTTAGGGACTCTGCGAGACACGTAGAACACACAGAGCTACCCTAGCCAGGGAGCTGGGGCTTTTATACCCTGGCTCCCATCACTCACTGGAGGCTGCTTCTGGAAGTAGATAAGCAGCCTTCCCTGTGGTCTGAGAAACTCCTCCTTCCCAACCTGGATGGTTGGTCACACTTCCTGGCCAGCGTTAGCTCCCCAGCACCCAGCCTGTCACATGTCACCCAGAGCAAGCCCACAGAGGCTGGTGCTGGCAATTAGAAGCTACCACACATTGTAATGGTCAGACCCAAAGGGGTGAGGTCAGGATGTCCAGCCCCATTTTAGATGAAAGAAAAGTGAATCTCCGAGAGGCAAAGTAATCTGCTCAGTGTCACCCTGCAGGAAGGGGTCTGGGAGTGGGGGGTTCAAGCCCAGGTCTGTCTGAGGCCAAAGCCCATGCTGACCACTAGGCTCCACACTCCTCTTTCCACAAAGCAGCCTTTGTGCACACAGACTAGAGGAGCTGGAAGTACCTCAGGAGACCAGCTCGCCCACTGACTGGAAACGAACACGCCCCGGCTGACAGGTAGCATTCATGGTTCGGGGGGGGGGACCGTGGGCGGATGATAGAGAAGAAGGAGGTAGGGCCTACGCCCACAAGGTGGGCATGGCAGCCTCTGAAGCAGGCATCGCTACTCAGCCATATGGGAACGGACGCCCAATGTTACTAAACCATCCACTGTGTCAAGGAAGCTAGATTTTTACGGGAAATCTCCAAAGTATTCCATGTTGTCTAAGAATTTCCTGAAAAACACATTGTGAACCAACCCTGTATGGACCAAATACAGCGTATCAGCCCGCGGCTGCCTGAATCCTGTCCTGTGGCTCATCCACTCACCCCGGTCGGTGAATCTAAGGGCTCGTGTTGGTGTCTTTGCCCCAACAGACATCCCTACAGAAATGGGGGCTGGCTCAGTCTGCACTTCGTGCACAATTCCACCCATTTTGAGCTTTTTTTCTTTTTTTATGTTAATTTCTGGCCACATTTCCACACCTGTGTCCCCACAGCTGACATCCAGAGCGCAGGCCCCAGCGCAGCCACACTGTTTAGAGTTAGTAAACAGTCAGCGCCTGCAGTTCCCGCCGTTAACCCTGTGCCCTGACTGCCCGATCCTTCCCTAGGATCCCCAGAAACCCCAGGGTTCACTTCTGGCACAGCAGGGACCTCAGCCGACCTTGTGGCTGGAGTTCTTTCTCATTCTTCAGTGCCCGGGAATCGTCCCTTTATCCTCCTGTGTCTCTCCCTCTCCCCACAACTACTTTCTTTTTTAAATTAGGTAACGATCTTGAATCCTGGTTGATTCAAGGATATAATGTTATCAACAGTGATGTGCTGATAAATGTTTAACAACTAGAACTAGCTCTCGGAAATAGTGGGGAGTCCTGATTTGCAGCATTTGCTGACTCCCATGGTGTAAATACTCCCACCCCGGCCACTTTTCAAGCTACCAACCTGACTGAATACGGAGTTGACAGATGTGCAGTAGCTCACCATTATATAATACTTACTGTGTAGATGCAAATAACTTAAAAAGTACAGATAACAGTAAAATATAGTGAAATCATAAGAATTAATGAGTTCTGAGTATTTATTACCTTTTTTCTAATATAACTTATTATATTATTCGTTGATATTATCTCATTTTTAATAATGCCTGTGTTTCTCCACCAGGTCACAAAATTCCTGAAAATTCTGCGAATTGGCTCTTATTAGCCCATATGAGCTGATTCCAGCAAACCACTGGATGAATAAACACAGAGGCAGAAAAATAACAAAAACAGGTGCTTGGTGGTCAAAAGGCAAGGATTGGAGGGGGGAGTCACCAACCATCCTCAGGAGGGCAATTCCACGTTCTCAATTCATCCCAAATCCCACACTTGCCCTGCTCTCCACCCTCACCTTGTCCAACCCCACATACCTGCAGCAGGAAGTCGAAGAGCGCCAGGCGTGCCCACTCGGTGTGGTGGATGCCCAGGCAGGGGGCCTGGCTTGGCCAGCGACAGCCATGTGCCAACAAGGCCTGGTACTGCAGCCAGCCCAAGGACAGAGAGTTCTGGTCATCCTCTGGGTCTCCCAGGTGCTGCACATCAGGCGCCCACCAGACGACGGGCCTGGTGCTACCATCCGTGTATCGATAGGGCAGCAAGAAGCTGTGGAAGTTCCGGGCCACGGCAGGCAGGCTCCGGCGCAGCCCCAGCACCCGGTCCACGTGGAAGGACAGGACCTCCGGCAGGTCCCCAGGCCTCTTGATCAGGCCACAGAGCCCCTGGGAGCAGAGATGGCTGAGCCCGGAAGACATGTTCCGAAGGGCACCATCGCTGGAGAAGCCCACCTGCAGCACCTGCCCATGGCCAGGGACCCTGGCTTTGCCCACCACCTCCCCCTGGGCCAGCAGCTGGAGTGTTTCCACATCGTGCTCCGTGAGCCATGGGGGGGCCTGCCCACCGGTCCTCAAGCTGGTCAACAGCTCCGGGGTCTCGGCATCACACCAGACAGATTCTTGCAGCTCCGCAACAGAGCCAGGCCACCGACGAGCCCCTGTAACTGGGCTGGGATGCCCTGCTTGTCGCCCACCAGTCAAGGCTCCGTTCCTAGCTCCCGGCAGATTCTTGCTTTCCACTGGGTGGGGCCGGAGGGTGAGTCCAACAGCAGCTCTCCAAGCCTGTAAAGCTGTCATGCCACGTCCTGTGACGGGGTCAGCCAGGGTGCCAGTCTCATTCTGTGCCTCTCCGATGGGACTGTCATGCCAGGGGGTACCCAAGTCTTTGCTTCCTGGAGCCCTGACCTCATCGTCCCTCAGGAGCAAAAGACGCGAGGTACTGAGTCTCAAATTTCTTGGAGAGGCCAAAGTAACGTCCCTCCTGACCCTCCCTGGATGCTTGCTGTCCTCTCCCAGGGACTTCCTGCTTCCGTCCACTGTCCCCCTGTGGCCTTTCTCCTCAGCACACACGGGGATGGAATGCCTAGGCAAGGGCCAGCCTTTCCAGAACCCTAGGTCTCTTGCCCGCTGCCTCCAGCTAGAGCTCAGAGCCTGCCGGCTGTGGGGGCCAGGGGCTCCAGGGACCTCCTGGGACTCCAGGGGACCCGGGTCTGGGCCAGTGGCTGGATGCTGTGGGAGGAAGCGGGTGACAGTCACCACAGACAGAGTCATCAAGAGGCAGAATGCCATCACCCACCGCCTCTTGCCACGCAGCTTTCTCCAGAGCCAAGATGCCTGGGGGACAGGATAGAAAAAGAAAGTTTGAGACCTGGGAAAACGTCAGACCCAATCCACAAAACAACGGGGACAGTGAACGAACATCTTAGGTGTATGAAGAGGGAAGAGACGTGGAGTACACTTCGCGGCCTTCAAGGGCGGAACGGGCAACCACAGCCGGTTGCGCTCCTGCTTCAAAGCTGAGCTTGCTTTGCCTTCCAGGGTGGCCTTTGCTGATGCTTGCAGTCGGACCCGCGCTTGTCCCCCTCGGATAAACCGCCATTATGACACCAGTCACCAAGCGCCAGGAGTATCTCTTTTCACATCTGTCCCTCACCCCTGAGGGCTGGCCCCTCTCTTCATCTCCATGTGAGCCCTAGGGCCCACTCCCTAGATCTCTAATGGTCTCCCAGACATGCCTTTCCCTTTTCCCGGGCACAAGGCTGCCCAGCTGCAGATGACCTTGCCCAGCCTCTCTGTGGCCATGTGACTCAGTCCTTGCCTAGGCACGTTTGCACGCCCCACTTGCTCACGTGGAAGTTGGATGCCCTGGCCTTTCTTAGCACACAGATGTGGGAGCACCAGCTCCGTGTGTGTTGGCAAGGACATACTCGGAGGCAGTGATTTTTAAACATGCTGGTCCTGGACCCGTAGCTTCGGTACCACCTGGGAACCTGTCAGAAAAGCAAATTCTCAGGCCCGCCCCCTCGCCACCTGACCCCGAGGTGCCTACGCTGCTGGGAGCCAGCAGGTGGGTCTACGTCCCAGGGCCGTGCTGCCCCGATCTTGAACACCCTGCTTGAGGCAGGGCAGGCTGGGGACCAGTGTGCTGAATAGCACTGGGCAGCTCAGAGGAAGGCAGGGTTCTGATTTCCTCCCTCTCCAGTCAAGGCCCCCAGGGCCACAGGGCAGGGAGACAAAGCCTAGAGAAGATCTTCCTCGTAGATGTGGGCTAAGCAAACTTGGATTTCACCTGGAATCCCTCTCCTGCTTGCTGGAGATGGGCTGGAACAATGGTTTTCAAATCTGCCCAGAGGGTTCCTTCACGGTCTACCATGGGGTAAGGGTTTAGGGGAGGACTTTTGTGCGCTCTGTATCTCCCTACGCACACATACACACAAATACATACACATAAATAAATAGACACATACATGCACATGCACACACACACTTCCACCAAAATAGCTCTGTGTTCTTTCACTAGGTAGGTTTAGCCCATTTATGTCACTTGATATGCTATATACATCTTTAGTCTGTCATTAAATTTTACGGCATATTTTTTGTATTTATAATTTGGAATTGTTTCACTAGGTTTTCAGTTACCTTTATTTTGTTTTATGGTGTATACCTTGATGCTTGCATGCCCTTAGTTGTCTAGCTCTTTAAATAGTCGTTCTGAATCCCTAGTAAGAACAATCATAAAATGAGCACCTGTCCTCTTCCTTGTCCCCTACCATTCTTCTGCTATTCAATATTCGTCACTCGCCTTGTCATTTTAATGTTTGCCTTTGTACAATTAAAGGTGCCTACATGTCTACTGTATCTGGCAGCTTTAAATGATATTCTTTGGTTCTCTGCTCTTATTAATGAATAGCATGTTTATTCTTTCTCCCACCTTTTCCCTGATTCCCCTTCCAAATTTGTATATTTGTATCATTTTTATATTGTTAGAATATAAAACTTGTACATTCTATCCCTTTAGTCCAATACTCACAATTGTTCAGGTCTTAGCCCTTCAGTGAAGTACATTCTTTGCATATTCCTGTCCCTTTTGCCCTGGTTTTTCATTATTTCTTGGTTGACTGAAGCCAAAAATCCATAATTTTCTCAAGAAGTGCTCACGGGAACAAAATTCTCTGAGTTCCTGCATGTTCAAAACTATTTTTCTACAGCATTCACACCCGAAGGAAAGTTTGACTAGAAAGAAAATATTTTGGCACAGTTTCTTTCTCCGAATGGCTTGTGGGTCCTACTCCACTGAATAGAAGGGACCTTTTATCCTGCCTCGTTGCCGTAAGAATTCTTTCTTTTTCTTTACACTTTTTTCCTGGCTTTATTGAAGGATAATTGACAAATAAAATTGTATATATTTAAAGTATATAATGTGATGATTTGATCTGTGTATACATTATGAAATGATCACCACAATCAAGTTATTTAGCACACTCAACACTTCACATAGTTACCTTTGTGTGTGTGTGTGTGTGTGTGTGTGTGTGTGTGTGTTGAAAATGCTTAAGATCTACTCTCTGCAAATTTCAGGTGTACAATATGATATTATTAACTACAGTCACCTACTGTACATTAGATCCTCAGAACTTACTCACCTAATAACTGGAAGTCTATATATTCTTTGACCAGTGTCTCCCCATTCCCCCTGCCCCCTCCCAAGCCCTGGTAACCACCGTTCTACTCTCTGTTTCTACGAGCCCAACATTTATTTTAGATTCCACATACAAATGATAACCGTATAATACCATATAGTATTTCTCTGTCTACTTTATTTCACTTAGCAAAATGCCCTCATGGTTCATCCATGTTGTCACAAATGGCAGGATTTCCTTCTCTTTTTTTTATGGCTGAATAATATTGTGTTGTGTATATATACATTTTCTTTATCCATTCATCTATCAGTGGACACTTAGGTGGTTTCCATATCCTGGTTATTTTGAATAATGCTGCAATGAGCATAGAAGTGCAGATGTCTCCTTAAGATACTGATTTCATGTGCTTCAGAGAAACACCCACAAGTGGGATTGCTGGATCATCTGATAGTTCTATCTTTTAGTTTTCTGAGGAATGTCAGTGCACAAGGGTTCCCCCTTCTCCACATCCTCCCCAACACTTGTTATCTCTTGTCTTTTTGACAAGAGCCATTCTGACAGGTATGACGTGATCTTTTGTTTTCTTTGAAGTCCAGTGATGTTAATAGAATATATCTCAGTGTTGACTTTCCCGGGTCAATTTTTCTGGGTGTAATCTACCTTGTTAGAAAAGGTAGATTTAAATGTTTTATTTCACCAAAGTTTTCTTAGACTAAATATTAAATATGTTTTCCGTTCCACTATTTTATTTTTATTTTTTCTTTAGGCTCTTTAATGACTTATGTGTTGGATCTCCTCTTGTCTGTCCTGTGTATATCTTTCATCTTCTCCCTAACCCTTTCTAACCATTTTCATTTCAGTTTGTTCATTTTTCTTATTTCTATATTCTATTTGGCTGATTGTGTTTTCCCCAATATTCATTCACCCTTGTGTACTTTCGAATTTCTACCAAATTCCTATTAATTTCTACTTTTCCCTATTTCTTTCCAGCTCATATTTTACTTCTTCCTGCTATCTTACCATTTTTTCTTGAGTTCTTGCATTTCTCCTTTGTAGTGTTTCTTCATAGAGGTATTTTCTCATTAAGCTTTAAAAATCCATAATGAAGCGATTGTTCAAAAATTTCACCTATTTCAGGGTGACTGACCTTAATCTGCTCATAAACTTTGCTGTTCATTGTTCCCTTTTTTTCTTACAGTGTCTCTGCGTGGATGCTGAACTCCTTTTATGAGTTAGACGAGTCAGTTGAAAGAGGTTCCTAGAGAGGGGCCTGAGTTGAATTTGAAATCATGACTAGGCTGCTTCCTGCAAATCTGGCTTGTGATATATCATGTATCATGTATCCTCTCCTCTGCCTCAAAAAAAGGAAAAAGGAATTTGCATTTTGTCTTCCATTCTCTTTGTTGGTTTCAGATGGTTTCCAGGAGACGGTGGCAAGAATGCTGAGTTTATGTGGCCATGTTCATAGTAACAGGCCTTAGTGGCACATTTTTAAGAGGAAAGGAACATACCCTTACAGAATGCAGTGACTAGGCCAGGCCACAGAACAACCAACTTTTTCCAGCTTCTGTGGTCCGCAGCCACGGCCCCCAAACAGCTCCGGGAGATCCAAGAGTTTTGCTCCTTCTATACATGTTCACAAGATCTATTCACTAGCTTTGTGGGAATTGAGGGATGCCTCCAGGTATGTCGGCCACTTAACACCCCCAAGGGACCGCCCTTCACGAGTGTCATGGAGCAGGAAGAGAGAGGTGGCCCACCCATCACAGCGAGATTTCTAGGAGTCAGAGGGGAAGGGATCACTAGGTCGACAAGATGTTCTCTACTCTCTATGATTTCTCACCATCTCCCCCACCTCTAAACATGCCTTCCTGTTTCCAATCTGCTGAAAGGTAGCACCATCCACCCAGACATCCAAGCCAGAAATCTGGGCCGGATCTCCATTCCGCCCTTCTCTCTGCCCCATACATCCAAGTCTTGCAAATTTTTCCTCCTACACATCTCTGGAATCAGTTCATCTCTCATTGGCCACTCTGTGTCTACCTAGGCTGAGGCACCCTCTTCTTTACTAGGATACCTAATTGGTCTCTCCCTCCACTCCTGCTCCTCCACAATCCACTCTCCACACACTCGATCATATCCCTCAAAGCCTCTCTGGAGAAAGTCTAAATGCCTGGAGTGCTTGGTCGCGCTGAACTTTTATTTCCTGGACAGTGCCAGACCCTCTCTATCTCCACTTCACACATGCTGTTCCCTCTGCCTGGAACATCCCTCTCCCCCTATTCTCATTCTTTAGGTCGTCCCCGGGAAGCCTTCCACAGAGGCCCCTCAGTGGGCTGGATGCCCTAGCTATGAGCTCCCATAACACCCGGCTCCTCCCTGAGCACACCCTTTCACTCTTTACTATATTTGACCATTTAAAGTCTGTCGATCCATGCGGGCGGGACACTGGATCCCTTGCTGTTGTGTCTTGGGACTATCACAGTGCCCGCCACACAGGAGGCTCCGTATGAGACGAGCCCTCAGATAAGAGGGGTTTTTGGAGGGGGACAGACACTGATCCCTGGCCTAGGGCATTGCAAGTCTGCTGGTGAGAAGGGGCTCCTCCAGTTCTGGGCTTCTTCCCTGTTTGGGGTTCCAGGAGCTTTCTCTCTGTAGAAGATGCTTTTGGTGCCCCATGTTGTGGACCTCTTG